TGAAATGATTAAAAAATAAAGATAAAATAAATAAGGCTAGACCTACGTCCTTCAAATTTAAAAAAAAGCGTTAGAATGACCACCAAAAATAACGTCGAAAAAACATCATCGATTATTTACAATATTTATATTCCATTGTCGTCATCTTTGTTTTGTTGTTATAATAACATTTCGCCCGTTATGTTCTCCGGCCTTCCTCAGATATATATCGGTCTGGGTAATCTACAGGGAATTCTGATCTTATTCCTTCATTTAAAATACGGGGGCAGACTATTCTCGTTCCAATCCCCATGTCTACGGATATATATATATATATATATATATATATATATATATATAGTCTAGTTCTTATTTTTAGTAAACAATTCTGGGTTAGGTAGTGTGTATTTGGACTCAATGAAAATGGGCGAGCAATAACTGAGAAGTACTAAAAATAGGAACTATACGAGATTTCCATAGACATGGGAGGTGGAACGAGAACAGCGAAATTTTTATTTTTAATTTTAAAATCCTCATTTTGAACTCGGTGAAATAACTAAAATAGACATATTATAAAGAAATATACTACTCCTATTGACCCGGATAAAAAAATCAAACTTATTATCTATCATAAAAAATTTAAGACGGCCAACCTTATCCTCAAAAATAACAACACACCAACGAAGTCAAAATTACAAAGAGCGAACATTATCTATGAGTTCAAATGCCCTTTAAGGAACTGTGTTCCTCACCAAACCGGACTCATAAATAATTACATCGGCTACACAACCACATGTTTATCCAGACGTCTTACATTACACCTATCTGATCACAGTTCCATCAGAACACATTTAAACACACACTCAGATTTACCCGACACTATTAGGAACATACTAGTAGAAAACACTAATATATTAACTGCATCCACTTGCAAAAAAAGACTAAAAATAATGGAAGCTCTAATAATAAAAAAGAAAAAGCCAACTCTTAACAATATCAATTATGAACAAAGCCACAATGTGCTAACCGTATTCGGAAACTAAAACATCACTACCACACACTGAACATACATAGAACACACACTCTACTAAGCTGATAATGAACCATCCTTGATAATGGCTAAAGGTATAGCCGAAAGCGCTCGGAAACACAGAACATTCGGACAGTTCTTACACACTCTTTGTCCAGAAAAAGAAAGCTCTTGTCAGAACACAAGAAAAATTAAATAAAAAGCTCAACTGTAGTACCTTGTCTGTCGTTTTAATGAAACATGCATAAAGGAAGGATTGCTGCCTAATTATACAAATATATATATATATATATATATATATATATATATATATAATTTGTCCTCCTCTCCATACAATTTACAATTTCGTTCATGGAAATATCTGAAGATAGTATTAGGTTGGTGCAAAAATAATGACGTATAATGTCGTTTTGTGACGTATTTTTAACGTCAAAAACGACATTATTACGTCATTATTTTTGCACCAACCTAATACTTTTAAAAAAGAATTATGAAAAATTACAGTTTTAGCCGAAAGCGCTCGGAAATACAAAACATTCGGACAGTTCTTACACACCCTTTGTCCAGAAAAGAAAGCTCTCGTCAGAACACAAGAAAAATTAAATAAAAAGCTCAACCGTAGTACCTTGTCTGTCGTTTTTAATGAAACATGCATAAAGGAAGGATTCCTGTCTAAATATACAACTATATATATATATATATATATATATATATATATGTGTGTGTGTAAAACTGTAATTTTAGTATATATACCGGGTGTAACATCAAAATGTTTCCAAATCGTCTAACAACACAATTATCCATCCTACAAAATGTTTAATATGTAAAAAACCACTAAACTAATTGAGTTTCACTTTTCCAGGTTTCTAGATAAGACGTCTAGCCATCTTGACACAATTTGTCGTAAGAATCAGTGAAAAGCCCTTTGAGCTATTCAGCTAGAAAGAGAACAGGTGTTTTTATGTTATAAAATCACATTCAACACCATCACTTGATAAGACACCAGACAAGTGTTGAAACAAAATGGCTATTTTTGTAGTGATTTTATAACATGTTTATGTTATAATTTTCGAATAAATAATTATATTTGCTCTACTCTGTTTTGAGCACTCTTTTAAGAATAGTAATTGTTGGTTATTGGAATTTATTCCGTATACACCAATCCTATACTTGGATATTAACTCCTATTACTGTTGGGAACTTTCTATTCTATTCTTATACTATGGATAGAATCAATTTCGGATTATCATTAAAGAACATTCCCACCACAAAAAAACGGGATTATTTCGTCCATTTAATTTTACAAACGGAAAAACTCATCAGAAGAATGAGATGGAGAGTTTACTTTTTTCTTCATGACCAAGACCATTTGTATAAACATGAAAATTATGGTTTTAGGAGTTTAAAGACAACACCAATAATTAAGGAATTGTCTGGTTTTGAAAATGACCTACTGAAAATCGTCAAAGGATTAACCTTCCATAAATATAAAAACGCTTTTCACAAAAATCTTGATGATATTGTCAAGAATATTAATAAATCCGGTGATGTTTATGTCAAATCCGATAAAAAGGCTAACTTTTATAAGTTATCCCCTAAGGATTATGATAACTTAGTTAAAAATAGTCTGACCAAAAGCTACAAGAAAATTGATATTAATAATTTTAACCTGATAGATAGGATTAACTGTGTCAGTAAATCAATTACTGACAAACTACGGATAAGTGATCGTGCCAGTAAATTGCAAACTAAGGAAGCTTATGTTTTGTTAAAAGACCATAAATCTGATTTCAGAATTAAGCCATCAACAAGACTTATTAATCATACAAGACCGGAAATCGGTAGAACTACTAAAACCATCTTGGAAAGAGCCAACCTATCCATAAAAAAAGACATCATTGGACTCTTACAGTGGATTAACACTGGTGATGTTATCAACTGGTTTACTAGCATCCCAAATAAGGACACCTGCACTTTCATACTGTTCAATATTATTGACTATTATCGCCTCCATATCTAAAGATCTGTTCACTTTGGCCTTGGAGTTCGCCCAGGAATACTCCAATATTTCTGAGAGTGAAGTGGATATAATCATGAAATGCCGAAATTCTGTTCTGGTCTACAATGGAGAACAGTGGACCAAAAAAAGTCTTGCAGCGATAATTTTGACATTTCAGTGGGTTCTTTTGATTCTGCTGAAGCCTCTGACTTGATATATATATATATATATATATATATATATATATATATATATATATATATATATATATATATATAATTACCGTCAGCTTAATCAAAATGTTCAACCTAAATCGTTAAATTTAAATCTGCGAAATAAAATATTGCTTTGTTCGGAAAATTTTGCCTTTATTTGTTTAATCCTATTGGAAACTTGGCGTGTAACGAACAAAAAATATTCATTATAATTTTTTTAATAAAAAAAAATTAATGTTCTTTTTCGTATTTTCATTGTTGTTAAATAATAATTAGCTCGTTCTAATCAATGGATATAAGAGTTCATTATTAATTATTTTCCGATATAATTTTAATAGATGTTTTCTTAACTAGAAGATATGAAATTAGTATGTATGCAGGCTCCGGCACATGAAAACAAATATTTTCTTTATTATTTAATTTATACAAACTGCTCGCATCTGGCTTATGTTATAACAGAAACACTGTTTTGGGCAGAAATGGAATATCGGTTGACTATTGAGTTATTTTGTTCCGGAATGTATTATTTAATTTTCTTTCTTTTAATCATTTCAACCTCATCGCGACAATAAACCGACTAAGTCGCAAGGGGTTACTGAACGTTAGAGAATATGAAAAATAAAACACTATTAAGAAGAGAGAACAATTAAAACAGAAATTATGAAGATAGAAGATAGCAATTGACTTTATATTTAAATTTTTGGAGATCAGACGGGACTGGGAAGCAAGAAGCCGGAAGAGAGTGCCATAAACGAGAAGTGCAATAGAAGAAACTGTTAGCATAGAACCTACGGTTATGTCTAGCCAAGATGAGACCCTGTCGCCAATCTAGTACCGCGCTTAAATTCATAAAGTCTAGATATCATAGAGGAGATTTCATCAGAACAATTAACATGAAAATCTTTATAAAAAAGACACAAGGAAGTTATATTATGGCAGTGGGAAAGTGACTGAAGCCGAGATGCCAGGTCAGGACCAATAATCCAGCGACTGAACAAATAACCAGTAGATGATAAAAACACAGGTTTGAACATCTGTATCCACAAAAGCACCGTCCAAATGTAATATAAACTTATTCCTTTTGGATATCCGTAACTTCTAAATATAACAGTTAACATGTATTTTGCCTGGTTCAAGATATTTTGAAGTATTAAACTCATTATTTCATAGTCGTATAATAATCTTTATCAAGTTTCGAACAGTAAGCGAAAAGATCAGAGAACAAAGCCTTATCTTCAATGTACGATGTAAAATGATATCAAAGCATACACATAATGTATGTGCAAGCAAAATTATTTATGTATGTTTACTGAACAGAACAGCCTTTTATGACTAAATTTATTTCACTAAACAAAGGCCACCCGCAAAACCAAAATTCTTCAAATTCATACTTAAATCCCCAAAGTGGACATATAATGCCAAATCGTATAAAACAAACGAACAAAAATAAGCGACCTTTGAGAAAGAGTTCACAGAACCTATTATTTTTGTTTTGTTGGCGAGTTTTATTCTCGCATCTTTAACATCAGAACGAGATTTTTATGAACGTATAAAGAACAAATTGTGGACATTGATGACCGATGGAAGCATAAAAGGTTTGAGCAAAAATAGAACGACAACAGGTCGGACGAACGAGGCCAGAATCGAATTTTCATTTTCGAATTAAAAAAGAGGTTACAGAGATTGATTCAGGAACGAATAATGAAGAGTAATGACTATTCATATTATGACAAGGCCTAGAATTTATTTATCAATCTATCAAACTGTTAATCTCTCTATGGCTACTCGTATCTATCTATCTATCTATCTATCTATGGCTGTTCCTATGTATTTATGTGCGTATCTATTTAACTATGGCTATTCGTATCTTTTTCTCTCTCAATCTATTTATGGGTGTTCATATGTATTTATGGATGTTCATTATCTATCTATCTATCTATCTATCTATCTATCTATGGATTTTCCTCTTGACTATTCATGGACACCCCATAGACCGAACGCTAGCATTTTGTAAAACAAATTCTTAGCTCCAATAATGGAAAAATACTGATGATCAATCATAATTGTTTTTACTGTATCACAAAGTAGCTAAAGTTAACGGAGTCCTAGCAGAAAAACGATAACATCAGTCGGCAGTGATTAACCGGCCGCTGACTATTCTTATGTTGCCTGGCCTCAAAAGAAATCTAAACCGAGACAATATCATTAAAATATATAATTTTCTTATCAATCATGGGAACCATTATTAAAAAAAATCCCAGAAGCCTCATAATTATCATAAAACATAGGGAATTATAAAATTCAACAACGAATAATTTTAACTTTCGGGCTTCATCGCTGTTGAAATTATTATTTTCATTATTGGCAGGCCACAATCTTAACAACATAAGGTATGCAGATGACACAGGAAGAAAGCTACAAAAACTCCTACAGAAGGTAATGAATAATCAAGAACCTATACTGGCAGAAAAATGCCTGCATACGGACCGAAAATGTGTTCAGTAGATATTAAATATCAAAAGGTGTGTAAGACAAGGTTGTGTCGTCTCGCCAGACTTATTTAAGCTATATAGCGAGGCGATTCTAAGAAAAATAGAAGTCCTACCAGGATTCATTATTGGTGGCCACAATGTTAACAATATAAGGTATTCAGATAGGAAAGTGTTGACGGCAGACGGAAAAGAGAGCTACAAATCATCTTACAGAAGATAGTGAAGGAAAGCGTAAAGAAAGGATTAAACATCAATAGCAAGAAGACAGAATGCACGGTTGTTAGCAAAAGGATGAACTCAAAGTGAGAATTGCAAATCGAAGAATACCAAAATAAAAAAAAAATGCGGAAATTTAAATATCTGGGAAGTGTTTTAACAGTGGACGGAAAGTGTGACACTAAAATCCGAAGGCATACTGGGATAGCCAAAGAGTCATTCCAAAAGTTAAGCAGAGTACTGGCAAATAGGAAAATTTTGCTCGAAACAAAGAACAGAGCACTGGACTGTTACGTAATATCTGTCCTTTAGGGCAGTAAGCACTGAAAAATCTTCTCAGATTAAAACATCAGAAATCTGGTTCTAGAGAAGGATGCTGAGAATGCCATGGACCGAACATGTAAACAACGACAAAGTTCTAAAGAAAATAGAAACAAAAAATAAAGTTATATTTAACATCAGAAAGAGACAGGTTTCTGGGATACATAGCGAGGAAGGAGGGCTTGGGAAAATTGATACTCACGGGGCCAACAGAGGATAAGAGAGACGGAGGGAAACAACGCATAATGTGTTTAGTGTGCTTGAGTAAATGGATGGCGGAACAGGTTTTAGGAGTAATAACAGATAGACAAAGATTATTAAGAGCTACATGTGACAGGAAATTGTGGAGAGCCATTGTCGCTTACACCCTGAGGGGACACCGTGCATAAAGAAAGAATGAATTAGCTCATGTTTCGTTTCTGCTTTCAGTCTTTACCTTTTTACTAGGCACCTTATCCTTTCCAATCTCCATTGCTCTCAATACCCTCAGTGTTTTTATCGAATTATTATAGAAAGAGAATTCGTTTCTCGTTACATAATTAATACATATATCTTAATGCGCATATCTTAATACACATATCATAATACACATATCTGAATGAATGGTGCAACGAGCACCAGGTCATGACTGTTGAACTCTGCTTTGGCAGATAGGAACCCGGACGAAGCTTTGCCGAAGGGCATGGTTTCGTCCGGGGAGGTAGACAGGCCCTGAACCCGTCTAGGCGAGTTCAAAGGGCATATTTTTGGCCGAGCCTACGGGCTCGGGAAACCCACATTAAACTCGGCCTTGTGCCACATATATTCCTCGTGGGTGGGATATTAAATACAATAATACACATATCTTAAGACATATCTTAATACTTATATCTTTTCTACTGCAATCTCTCTCTTCTCTTTCTTGGCCTCTGTCTTTCTCTATAAAGACTTTTAATACGCCTTCTCATCCTTACTTTTTAATCTTGTGCTCATTGTCTCTTGATATACAGTCAACAAGCCTGTCTCGAAACGGTATTTTCTTCGTCTCCATCACTTCTCGCCTGTCTCTATATCTGTATTTACTTTTTTCTTTCACCAGGTTATCTTTTTTTTCAGTTTTCTATAGATTTTTCTCCTCTGACATTTTCTCCTTCGCGTTCTTTTTTCCTTTTTCTTGCTTTCCACATCCTTTACTGATTACGTATGTTTCTCGGTCAGAAAGCGAACTTGATCTTAGCCCTGAAGTGCTGGAGATTGGACAGATACTAGACTCTGATCTTTGGTTGAAAAGCGTGACGGAATAATAGCATAAATGACAGTTATATGTATTTTTTTCAACCATTTCACCCCAAGCAAATGTATAATGTCACTAGAACGCAGGTGACTACAGGTATTCAAACAGAGTGATATGACTTCAGTGAGGAAAAGTGAGGGACGAACTACTCTCCTTTGTCTGCTAATTTGTTTTTTAGCAAATCCAAAGTCTAAATGGTTCAGATCTTAAATCTCTTTCCAAACCAAAAGATATTAGGTTTATAAAACCCAGAAATTCATACACACATGTCCTCAAGGTCACATGGCGCAGGAAATAAAGACGTTAGTTAGATCCAATGTCAGAACCCAAAGACTGCGAATTCAATACCTGGTTAAGGCGATGGAGAACTTGGAGATGTGAATTAACAGGAGATAACTGATAACTGACATCCATTAGACATGGCACGTGGAACTAGAACAGTCTACCCCATTGAGCGAAATAAAGGGTTCAGTTCGACATTCCAACCACCTGAAGAAGGCCGGGGCGTACAACGGCCGAAACGTTGTAATAAATATGGCAACAAAGATGAGGATGATAGTCCAAATAATGTAAATAGTGTACATAATACCTCACCTCAGAAATATAGACAATACATTTTTGAAGGAAAAAATATTACCAGCAATACATTTTTGTAAATAGTTATTACCAGAAATACATTTTGGGAAGAAATATTACCAGCAATAAAAATCTTGTCGGCCTTAAATAACCCATTGAGGTTGTTATGCCATAAAACTAACCAAACCAAACCAAACCAAACCAAATCAAACTAATGATGATCAAGGTAAGTGCAAGAGTTGAGATTATGCATATTGCGACTTTGTTCACAGTGGACTCGCAAGCGGATATTTGGCATTTTTAGGACATTTCCCAAGTAATAGGTGTTATATCCAGTCTAAATTTTAGACAGTCTCAGGATTTCAGAACTGATCTTTTGTCCTTACGATGGACGTAGATGCAGCACAAGGTTGAAGTTATGAGGATCGTAAGTCGTATTTGTTCTAACAGACCACGTCGAGGTGCCCTTTTTGATTTACTAAGTGTAGCTTAGATGTGACAAAGCCAAAAGGATGGGGTACCTAGTGAAGAACGAGACAAGCTTGATAACCATTACATCACGGCGAATTGTCTACTTACTCCAACTCATGATTGTTTGAAGTTAATCAAAATGAATGTGTTAAATCGAAATTTAATCTCTTTGGGGGAATTTTGATTCTTCACTGGAGAAAAGGTCTTCTAGACCTAAACCACATTTTTAAATAGAAATTTGGAATTCTTGTTTTAATCGTCCTCATCACATTAATATAGTATTTTAGCCCGCTGAATCAACAAAGGGCTAAAAGCCACAAATCTCCGCCTGCCTCTATTGCACATGCCCACGGACCAGCAAAGGTGTGAAAGTATATTGTGAAGGATAATAGAGATTGGAAGATTGATGGATTTGTCTGTTTAAATCAGAGGTATTGCTGCCAGATATAGTTTATCGTCATACTCAGGACTAGAGATTGTATGAGGCTTGCTGTCACATAATTTATAGAGATGAATTCTAGATATATGATGCGGATATTGTTTGATTTGATTTGTCTGTTTAAGGCCATATCAACTGTTTATGGGTCATTTAATGCCGAAATTTAATTTTCTTGGGAGCGTGGAAGTAATAAAAATATGATATATGTTATTCTGCTTTCACAACTGAATACATGGTAGATGATACTCAGCTTTTGTGCATATACATGTTTGATTGGACATAATTACTAGAGGCGGTGATATGTGTGTTTTATGTTATAGTTTTCTGAAGTTTTATTTTGGAATACAGTTTGATTGCTTTAAGAATTGTATGGTATTATATAGATTAATGTCATCAACGAGTTCTTTCATGCTGGCTGATTGATTTTGTTTAGGGGCATATCAACTGCTTTGGGTTATTTCATGACGAAATATAAATATTTTGAACAAAATTTTATGGCTTCAATTTAATATATTTTGAACACAATTGTATACCTACAAACGAAATGTATTGTTTGTTATTTCGCTATAAAATGCATTGTTGGTCATTTTGCTATGAAATGTATTGTTGGTAATTTTAATATAAAATGTATTTCTGGACATTTTGCTTTAAAATTGTATTGTTGGACATTTTACTATAAATATGTATTATTAGTAATAATTTTTATACTTTCATAGTGTTTTGTTTTTGCTGAGTGGGGTGGGCACTCTTTGTCTATAACTGGGAACGTGGGGAACATAACAGGTGCTACCAACCCGGATCAGGGTAGACTTAGGTAGAACAGCAATTAAGAGGTGGTCCCACGATCCACAAAACCTCCAAACTCTCGATCAGAGGTTTTGCTACCGGATGTAGGCTATTGTAAATTCATGAATAATAACAAATGCAATATCAAATAATGATGATGAATAGAAATTTAATAAAATAACTATAAGAATACTAATATTGATAGTGACAATAGTTACAAAATATACTTCTTAAAAATCGTGCCGGTAGGTTGATAGGAAAGCATAATGGACTCTCTACATTACGTTGCCAATGAGAAGGACAATACTGATCCCCAAAATTTGTGGAGCTAGTAAGTCTTCACCGTAAAAATATACAGGGACATCTAGGCTGGTGCAGCTGTGGTACTATACCCACCGGGGTAGTATACAGGGCTAATATACATATCGTGCATGTA